ATTCGTGCAAGTAATTATTTCATAATTTTCGCAGGCAGGATCGCATAAGAGGAGGATCAACGTCCCATCATGTTTGTTGAACATCACGGTCTATGTCCTGCTTAGGAATGACCTCCCCAGGAGGATTTCATGGTCCACATCTGGCATTATGAAGAAACATGCCCTGACCTTCACCTTTCCAACCTCGACGAGCACATTCGAGGCTGCTCCGCAAAACATGGCCTTACAGCTGGCTCCATGTAGAATACCGCAGTCAGAACGGTCTATATCCAGCCCGAATCTGATCGCGTCCGCCTCCCGAATAATGTTCATCTCTGCCCCGGTGTCCACCATTGCTGCGCACTTGGAACCCTTCACCATCACATCCACCGTACCGCAGGCTACGCACTTCCAGTCCATCTTCGTACCTGACTCTGCCCACTCTGCCTCCTTGGGCAGGATCGTACCCAGATGGACATTGGGCACCAGGCGCCGTGATAATCTCCCCTTCAGTTCATCGCGGAGTCGCGGGGCTGACGCTAGGATTTCCTTCAGGGTCATGAGGTCATTATGCCCTTCCAGCAGCCGGTCAATCACCTTTTCTACATCAAATCCCTCTTCCAACCGGACCGCGTATTTCTTCTTTTTGGGCGGTCCGTCATGTATGACCGGTTCGGCCTCTCCCCTGGTCCCCTTTTTCCTTGCTCGCTGCTCCGCTCTCTAATCCTCTTCTCTGCGCAGCCTCTCGTCGTCTTCCTCTTCATCATCGTCGTCCTCTACTTCCACAACCTCTTTTTTTCTCCCTGGTTCGTGTTCCCCCCTTGGAGGCTCTTGGCTGGTACTGGCCTTGGCTTGATTCCTCGTTCGCGCTGCCTGTGCCAGCCGGGCCTGTAGAGTGAGGGGTCTCCCCCTCATTCCTGGTTGAGGGCACGACCCTACCACATTTACTCTGGGTCGCCCAGGCGCTGACTCCAGGCCGGAGTCATAGAGGAATATTGTGGGGACATTAGACTTTCATTCTTTCACTCCTTCACAGAGGTCTACCAACTCCTGTTGGTACCTCCCCATCTTATCCAGCAAGTCCTCCATCTTCTTAAATAAGACGGACAGAGGCTCCGTTCTTTCCTCCTCATCCTCGTCATCTGACTCAATGATTATGGCCTCTTCCGTCTCACGTCCTCCTCGCAGCCCTTGAGTCACTTCCTCATCGCTCCCCACTTCTTCCACCCCAAACGGTGGTTTCTCCTTTTCCTGCCATAGCCTGAACATGGCAGGGGGTGGTGGCCCAGCTGCCGCTCTTCGTTGGGCTTCAACCCTCGCTCGTCCAAGCCTTCTGTCAATGACCTCCCCAAACTGATCGTAGATATTCCCATCCATAGTAGAGGAAATCACTCCGCTTCTCTCGTCTTCCCGTCTTATATTACAGAACCTTATAGTGTGGCCCTGCTGGTCACAATGTTGACAGATGACCGTCCTCCTGTCAAAGCGGGGTCTTCCATACCCCTGACTTCCCTGATCCCCCCGGCCTTGATAGCCCTGGCCTTGGTACCCCTGGCCTTGACTCCCTTGGCCTT